TAAATGACACGTCAGTAACATGTATATTGTTACACTACTTATAATTATTCATAATATTGATATATTTCTTATAAGATTGCGGGAAATGAGTGAGATGGTATTTGATACCTTACGATTAATAAACTTCCATATATATGTGAAAAAAATATAAATTTAGCCTTCTATAACACATAAATTTTATTAACAAATCCTACAGAAAATAACTCGAGGAATGTGAAGAGTCGTTAACAGAAATATCAAAACATTAATACTAACCGAAGCGTCATTTTATTTTAAAATTTTTAAAAATATAAAAAAATGTATTTATTTGGAAAAATTGATTCCCTCCCCATGAACCAAAATAGTCCTTGTGGTCCGTTGTATATAATTCGTTGTTAAAAAGCGTGGGTCACTTATTGACTGTAATTATATTTCTCTGATGTTCTATGCGACACCTCCATCCAGTTTTATTCATTTTTTCATCCAAATAATTTTGAATGTAATATGAATAACGGTGTGGATGGGAGTCTCACAGTTTTAGATCTTATTTTGGGGGGGGATTGTCCAAAACAATGTTAGATTTTCAACTTAAATGATGATTAAAACGCGTTTATGATAATTATTAAATTAATTATTACCAATTATTACCAAGTCTATGAAAGAACTGATGACTTTGTAGAAATCTGTTAATTTATTTGAAGATTATAAGTTTTTCATTTTAGTTTTTAAATCCAACATATTATTATTATGTTTTATAATTTTCGGTAAATCTTATGAACAGTGTTATTCCCATTGTTATCGATCCTTATCGAATTTCCTACGTGCATCGATTATCCCACAAAGAATTATTATTATTATTATTATTATTATTATTACTATTTCTTATTTTTTGTTAAAATCACAGTCCTAAACCCCTGAATAATCCGTCTTCGGCAGATGCTAAGTAAAATCCACATTTGTAGGGTATAACAATAGTTTTATTTAAGTATAAAAAACTTTTGTCGGCATATTTTGGTTTTATAATATTATTTATCAAATTCTTATTTTGTTCTGTTACCTTGGGTTTTTCACTTTTAGTTACTATATTGTGGAGGGTACACTTACCTGAAATATAATAACACAATAGGTATTCACAACCCGCCTTAACAAAGCCAACGTTAGGTAGACATTCTTTTGTATGAAATGGAAAAATTATTTTTGAATATTTCTTTGCAAAAGCGTTTGTATATAAATTAGGAATTAGCAGTTAAATACTGTCTATACAAATTAATCAATATCATGTAGCTACATGATCCTAGCTTAGGTTTCTAATGTAGATATGTTAAAATATATAGATAACATTGATAATTTCGGTACTAAACGACTTCATATTATTATTACATATTTCCAATAAAAAGATAAACTTTAAAGAATGAAAATATATCAACAATCTTAAATAGTTAATCAAACTTTATTTTTACTAACAAAACAACTAAATTAATAAAAAAATATTTTTTAATTTCTAGAATTGATAAATGTAGTAGTTAAGCTTAATATATTATTCCTCGTTTAATGTCTTTAAGTATGTAAAAATATATTATTAAAATATCAAATATTTTGTAGCTTTTGTATATAATGTAATAATATACATTTTATTTTTTCCTTACAATTGTATAGGTACTACGTAATTATTTGATTTAATTAATATTGACCAAGGGGTAAATTATTTAATGTGACATCTAACAATGTGTGTTGTTATTACTGTTATCAATACTTGTCTTCTTCTGATGAAAAATATAGTATAAATAATCTAAAAACAGACAACAGATGTTTCTAGTCGAAAACTCAGTTTGGTAGTAACATGATAGTTGATAATGGTATGGTTATTTCATTTTCTTACGAAGTTGATTTTCAATAAATTTATTAGTTATAAGCATAAAGTATTATAAATTTGATTTTTTTATAATATTTATAAAGTGGACTTAGGTACTAAAACAGATTAAATAATTCTGAGCTGGTTATGAAACTCAATACTTCATTATAAACGCTTAGTTATAGTACGATCCTCAACAGTCAAGGTTTCGTAAAGAAAAATTAATATTTATAATTATAATTGTATATATATATATTCTATTAATATACGGTTATTCACAGAAAATTAATTTATGTTGCAATACATAAGAAAGTTAACAATTTACATATCATTATTAATATATTGTTTCATATTAATAGGGGTACATTAATTTTATATATTTTTTGAAATCGGGAATGATATTAAGTACTGTTAGTCATACTTATCTTTTTATCAAATTTTAACTAATTACTTGGTGTCATAAGAATTTTAAAGCTAACTATTTATTTATTTATTTTTAAAGAATTATAAAGGATTTAATATAACTGGACAATATAATTTTAATTAACTCAAATATTATAAAATTAGGTTATAGGAAAAAACTGGATAGCCAAAATTGGCTAATCCCATGGAAGAATTCGTTTTATAGAAAAATAAAAATAATCTAACAACTTAAATTATAAGAATTCTTTATTTAAGTTTTTATATCCAACGTGTTGTAATGTACGATTTTCGGTGAATCTTTCAAACAATGTTGGTATTTGGTACTCCGATTGGTGTGCCGTGATATCGAGTTTTCTGCAAGGACGCCAAGGACTAATAATTTCCATGTGGATCACTACTTATTGCTTTGTTAAACATTCCTAAACCCTATAAATAATACGACGCTGATAATGCAGAAAAAATCACAAATATATAATGCAACAATGGTTATATTGAAAAAGGAAATTTTTGTCAGCGTATTATGGTTGTCCATTGTATATATTTCGATTTCTTTTTTCCACTAGGTACCTTGAGTTCTGCTTTGTTGGTTTCTACATTGCGGGAGGTACACAGTTGGAATTTCAATAACACAATACGTATTCAAACCCCCCACAACAACGCCAACGTAAGGTAAACATTCGTTTATATGAAATGGAAAAATCATTTTTAATATTTCTCAACAAACGTGTGTGTATAATATAAATTCGTAAGAAACAGTTGAAATATTATCGATATAACTTTGTCAATAACGCGTTGGCGACTGGTTGATTGTTCAGATGAGACATTGCAAGGGAGCAAGGGACTGTCTGATTGGATCTTAGGGCTGCTACGGCTACTTGGCTAAACAATAATATATACTTAATATAATAACGATTTTCAAAATCAATTTAGGTATAGAATAACATACTCTAGAATAATAACAGATTAATTGTAATACCTACTGCGTATAAATATGTATAATTATTATAATTAAGTAATATTGTTAATTTTATTATATAATTTTAGTTTTGATTTTATATTAATGATATAATCAAATTTTATTTTGTGCAATCAATATTTAAAGCTTAAGACATGTTTATTTTAAAACATTCTTTGAATAACGAATAATGAATACCAAATTGATATATATATATATATATATATATTATTTTAATTAAATAATTAGATTTTTATAATATTATTATTACAACAACAATATCCTCCTCAGATATTATACTTGTTAAACGTCAAATGAACGCGTTCATTATTCAATATTCGTATTAAACATTTTCTGGTGTATTGAATAAATTAATTTGAAGTTATGTTAAAACTAAAAAACTTTATTTCATATCATAACCTGAGGGGGTATACATTTCGACTTGTGTACCTTTTTCCGTCACTATTGGGAACAAAGACGCGGGTAAATTTCGATGAAAAACAAAAAAAAATTAAAATAATATTACAGTATGCGATGTATCAAAGAAATAAGACAATTTTACGTTAACATCACATTTGAATATGTTAAATGATTGTGAATTGTGATACACTACACTCTGTTTACAAATTTAATTACAGTTACCCTTATCAAATTGAATGCAAAATAAAATTAAAAAAATAAATACGTTATGTATTACAGTTATAAGTTAACTTTATATTTTTTTGTTTCTTTATTAAAAAATAACTTCATAACCAACAAAGCGATTTGAGATATTGAACACAATTTAAAATGTTATGGATAGTTTATTAGTACCTATTTATAAATATGAAATATTATATGTATTATTAATTTAGCTGGTAAACTATTCTTCAACATCAACATTTCTACTGAGAAGTTAGATATTAAAATTTTAAAAATATCCTAATATATTAAACACTGAAGAATTTAGTATTTTAAAAGCTATGAGCATGTAATAAATATTTTGAATAATTAGTTATTTTTATCAAATATATTCCTATTCAAACAGAAAATATTACCTTCATCTGAGTTAAAAAAGTTTTCAATAGATTTGACTAGAGCAAAGCTCTCAACAAAAATGTTTTCTAAATTTATAATTATAACCTCCTACATATATTTATGCAAGAAATTATCTTTATTTTATTCCACTGTTGTACAATAGTAATACTCCAATAAATATTTTTTTAATGTCTTCAATTATTCCATGAATATTTTCAATAATTATTGATACAAATATATTATTTAATAGTAATATCTTAAAAAAAAAAAAAAAAATAATAATAATAAAATTTCACTTATTTTATAAAAATGCTTAATTAATGTACTTTTCAAATTAAATTTATACTTAATTATAATATTATGTATGACATAACATTTAAATAATAAATATATAATACATTTTAAGCTATTATTTGGATATCCGCACAAATTTCTTTTCCTTAGATCAAATTAGTGCTGTTTAATTATATGTATTGTACTTTTAACATTTTAAATAATATTAAAAATATAACTATCAGTTTTAATCATCTTAAATAACGGTGAAAAAACGATCTGTGAAATATTTTTGTATACAAATGTAAAAAAACCTATTTTTGAAGGTTCATACTTTTATATAATTAAAATGGATTAATTAAATATAAGAATATATACATGTATAATCAAATAACCTACTTTGATTAATAAAAAAAATACAATATAAAATAAATAAAAGGTATACCGATCAAATTTTTATTTTAAACAGTTGCAATTAATTCAAATTAACAACAAAATAAATAAAATTTATAAAAACGGATTTATTATTTACTATTTCACTATTTTATTGGTTTTCATTTATAGTGTAATGAGAAAATTATTGGTTTGACAATAAAACAACAATTGATGATCGAATATAAAATTTATACGACCACTTAATTAATTAATTGTTATACTTATAATTTTACATTGCTATACATAATTATAGCTTATACTAAATCGGTCTCGTACAAATATTTGGAATACTACATAGCATTGATTGCCATGGTATATTGGTGGTTCCCTGTTCTTGAATTAATTCTGTTGCTCTAGGTGAGAAATGTGAAAAACTTATTTGAGAGTACTCTGGAAGTATCCATCTCATACAGAAAACACAACGCCCCATTAAACGAAAATATATCCATAGTGAACGAGGTATATCTTGTCTCTTGAATGGTACACAATTATCCATCAAACTAAACAATGCCAAATGACTTAATGGTTTTACATGGTCAAAATCTTCTATCTTAATTTCAGATACTGATAAATATTGAAGTAAGTGATCATATGATTGAGTTCTTGAGGAATTAAATAAGTTATCTGATATATCGATGGAATTAAAGACTCTAGAAGATAAACAATGAGGTAAGTATGCTAACGAATTTCCATTAACAGTTATACTTTTGAGTTTCTTGAGTTCAACGATAGACTGAGGTAAATAAGACTGAAAAAAAAAATAAAATTTTTCAAATTATTCATCAGTTTGGAATTAGGTATTTAAATTTATTTTGCATATAAAATAATAAAACTTTTTTTGACTTTTTCAGAATGATTAATCTAGAATCTGAAATTATAAGCATTTGTAAGTGGTTTTATATGTTCATATAATACTAATTTTAAATACAAAGTTTAATTTTGCATATTTGGAAGAAATGTATTTAACATAAGATAAATCAATTATTCACTTTTAAACTTTTTAAATTGGATCTCTGTATACTATTTGTTTTCCTTCTCTGACCCATGCATAATGTAAATGCCAAATTTGCATCTAGCAGAACTAATTTTGTCATGATAGCTTTAATATTAAAGCGAATTAACTTATTATCAAAATTAAAGTCGAAAACATCTGTTCTTAATTTGTATATTTATAATGTTTCAATTTTTTGCACATTACTTAAACCAGCATTTTTAAATTCTAATATTTTACAAACTTCTAACTTAAGCTAACAATACTAGATTGGTTTTGTTGACAAAAAATTTGCTGTCCTTAGATTAGGGAAAAAAAATTAATAGTGCACCAACACAATGATTGAATAAGTATAAATAAAATAAATAAATAAATTTTACTGAAAAAAAAAAACAGTTAACATTTTTGTTGCTGTTATTAATAATGTTATCATAGAATATTGCAGTTAATTATTTGAATCTGTTAAAAGGTTTTGATTTTAAATAGATATTTCAGTATTTATTATTGTTAATTAAATAAAGCTAACAACTGATTTCTGATAAAAGTAATGAAAACATTTTTTAAATACTTGTATTAAGTATAAATATTATTTATATAATTGCATATTTAGATATAGTAAATTTTTTTTACATTATATTTATTAATTTATAAATGTATATAATTCTGATTTCTAGATTAATAATGAAAATAATAAATTTTTAGGCTTTTAGCTTAATTTTCAAAATCAATTTTTTTTTTTATTAATCTTTTTAAGCTCAAAGCATAAAAAACTAGGATTACCGAGTTTAATACTTAAGTAATAAGACTTATTGGGTATCAAATAGATAAATTCAACAGTAAAAATATACAAGAATAGCACAATAGATTCAGAAAATAATATGAAACAACGGCCTAATTATCCATAGTTAATCTTAGAGAAATAAATAATAGAACAAATAAAAACACAATAAAAAAAATAAAGTTGGTAATTACAAGTAATAAGGAATTCACTATTAATTACCAAAGAATTGTGGGATATTGATAACTTTTGTAGATTTCTCAGGAACGTTATTTCAAATGGCAATCTTTTCAAACCGATGTAATCCATTTCTAAGATTAATAATGTTTCACAAATTGTAGTTTTAGTCATCCAATTCCAAATGGTATCTTGATTAGTAGGAAGTGCATTACCCGAAATGCTAAAATATTTAATCGATAAATTACCAACTTCTTCAGGAATTCTAGGTAAATCACAATATGCCAACAGGAGTACAGTCAAACATTTTAAGCTCAAAATATTTTCAAAAAGAAAATCATTAGTAAACTCATTAGTCTTTGAATCATCAAAACAATCCATAACGAAATTGTTAGCAGATACCTCCTTAAGCGTTTGAGATGTACCGATTTTTACTTTTTTATCGTTAAAAATAGTTCTTAATTCAGTGTAGAACATAAAAACTTCTGATTTTTCTTCAGAATATATCAACAATACTTGTTTGGGCTCTGTGAACTCCAATCCCAACTTCCCATCTTTGATGAATTTGGTGTATACTTTTTTCAACATGGTCCACTTATATTTTTTAATATTTGGATGCATCTCATTTTTAACAGACAAATATTTGTTGTTATAAAATTCATTGGTCATCAGACATGATTTGAGAAGTCGTGCTTTCGAACGTGGGGGATTTAAATCTTGCATAGCAAGCCAACATCTGATTAACATCGTTATTATCGGAAACAACACGAATGTAGTCGACAATTAAAAAAAAACCGAAGAATACGTAACAAAGAACATACATTAGATCCGCAATGGTCGTATAACATAAACTGTAAAATGGACACTTCAATTACTATTTCAGTTATCGGAATTCCGTATACGCGATGTTAGTGATAATGTGTTCCAAAGACATTGTAATAACTCGAAACCCAAACAAACATTTCACCCATAAGAAATATACAGTGAATAATTTGGAAATTAATTAATTAATTAAAATAAGTATATTTTGACCACAACTTTAAGTGCATAATGTTCACCGTAGAAATAAAAATTATAAAGTTATTTTATTCAAACTTAATTCTTTTGTAATTTTAAATTTACAAGATAAATAATTGGCGGGAAAAAAGTTAATTACAAATATATACTATAATATTATTACGTATATATTTAATATTTTATGTTATCATATAAGTGAAATGTAAATAATGCTATCATATATTTCTTTAGCATTGTTGTAATGTAATTTATTGATGCTTATGAAAAGGCAATATATGCACATAATAATATTTGCTGCATTTTATTGTTTGTGTCACAAATAGTTTGTAAGCATGTCACTTGCACTCAGTACATAATTTAGCTTTCATACAAAGATATTTATTTTTGTTATATTTTAATATTAGCTATGTAAGTATCTATGTTAATTATTTTATCTTTTGTCGATATTCATTCAATAAATATCGCAATATAATTATAAATTCTACACAGGTTCCACTAAATGATAAAATTCATATTATTTACAATGTATTATAAATTCAATGATATCCAAGTACTGAAGTATAGTGGTGCAGGTTTAGTAGATGTAAAATCAAAGTTAAGCATTAAATAATTACAAAGTTAATTTTTTACTTTTTATAATAATTTCTTCCTTACCATTAATATAGAAAAAAAAATACATAAGACTTGAAATTATTTCAAGGTACTTTTAATTCTTTAGGATAAACTATGAGTGGGACATCACACAGATCACGCAGAAACCAAATAGACAGTAGTAATTCTTAAATTTACGTACATGGACGAGCAAGTACATTGTTATTCACTATTGGTAAAGAGTGAAGATATTATATTTTTTATAGTAAATTTATAAGTATACAAAAAAAAAAAAATATAAAAAAAAAAATACTAACAAAAATGTTTACCAAACGATTGCACGCGTTTTACCTTTTTGGGTGGTATACGATTGCATGCAGCACTAGAATAACAAAAGACATGGTTTTAACTATTCTAAGGCTACCCGTGAAATTGAATGCGAAGTTGCCAAACTTTTTATTTAACAAAAATTAAGTTATAACATAATTATTCTTAATATTTAAATACAGATACAAATACTATAATATAATACTAATATCATTTAAAAAAATTAATATAAAATTTAACACTGTGACAGTTGAAACACAAACATAACAGACAGTAAATAGATATAGTCACACCATGCATGATTATAGTATAGGTGTATTCGTACATAATAATTCTGATCTATTATAAAAGTATGGTCTAAAATATAACCAATTATTTCTTAGTGATGGGAAGTTTGCCCGGTATCGGCAACAATAAATAATAAAATAATTTACTTTAATCTACTATAGTATCTTACGGATTTATCATGAGCCTATATACTTGGCAGCGTTGCTTAAAAGTAAAAATATTATAGTACGCATGATTATCGCATGATTAATCGTATCGCGTCCAACTTGATGACCTAAAAAACTTTAGTAAATGCACATAAAAATTTATTAAAATGATGTATAAACATCAAAAAAATGACTTATAAAATTACACTAAAAATAACGAAAAATAACACATTTTCAAAAATTACGTTTATCAGATTATCAAAAAAATTATTGTTTTTAAATTAATATTATTTAAACATTCATTAATTATTTTATTCATTTAAATTTAAACAGCACTAATATTTTTTTTTAATACATTAATTATATTTTTTCTTACCGACTACACGGCATAAATTAAATTTAAAATTGCAATAAGAATTAATTTCAGTAATTCAAAATAAAAATAAAAAATAAATTGGTATTTTTAGAAAAAAAATTGAAGGATTGGACTGTAAAATACGTTAGTTTTTACAAATACTTAGTTTTGTCAAAATAATATAAAAGAGAAATGTAAAAAATGCAAATAGATGTACAGAAATGCACCAAAATTAGTAAAAAAAACTGCCGTATAACAAAAAATTACCGGAAAATGTAAAAAATGCATAATTAAAATTGTTCTTTTAAATTTTTACATAACATAAGTCACATTTCTGTAATGACAAGCCTCATATATAAACGCATTAGAAAAAAAAAGATGCAAATGCATCAAGTTACGGGCCCTAATGATCAACTACTTGTCAACAAACAAATTGTGTTTTGTAACATGTCGGTTCTCGAGTTGGTAAATGGGAAATTAAAATCAATATCCAAAAAAATTCATCATTAAGTTATTAAATTTATAATTATTGTTAAAATATTTACATAATAAATATGTAAGTCCTACGATGTGATGTGTGCTGTATAATTGTACGTTCGACAATAAGCATCTCTCTAACCATCATTAACCTAACAAGAAAAAAATCGCATTCTTGCAAATTAAACAGAATGAATTAAGGGAAAATTATGCATTTTGAACGATACAATATTATCAGTATAAATGTATTACTACATAGTACTACAATATGTGACTGAAAATAGCTGGGAAGTGAAAAAAAAAATTCCAAGACCAGAAGGTCAAAAATTTGGTGAGGACGGGTATGGATGCAATTAGTTGAAGAACGTCTAAACTGCGGCCTGTGTCGATCAGGTGTTAAACCGAACACACAATGGAGCAATGATAATAAGAGTGTGTAATGAAATAAGCAGTGTTAATAAGAGCCACAAAGAAATTCTCAAATAAGAGACATATGTATATCTATGTATATACACTGTCGAAACAGGTCTGCCGTACGGCTGGGCTGACGTCAACTATCGTGAGCGTCCTCACATTCAACAGATATCAGTTTGGTAGAATTATATACGTAGCCAATCGGTCCTGATGATGACAGGGTAGAGTGTAATCTGTTTTTGCTCAAAACCACACTTTAACGGTGACATATGGCCGCTAAAGGCCAACTCGTTATAGACTATAATCCACCTAGAATGAACTGCTATTAATAATTTTTTTGTAACGGCTCACAGCCGTGAACATCATCCATAATGTACAAAAAGGTGTACATGGAAAGGATTTTCAAACAAGTGCATTACCTACATTAGCCTTTTGTTAAGCAAAACACAAAATATGAAAACAGTGATACAATTATATTAATATTTTCATTAGTCAAAGTCAACGGACTTGTGAGTTTTAACTTTTTTACTGTGATGGCTACCAGAAAAAATAAGTTAAAACACAGGAGGTTATCTACACTCCCATCAATAACACACACACTTTTAGTCATAAATTAATGCTTGTAATTTGTACACATGACTTGAAAAAGTATATACTTAGATGAATATTTTATTCATAGTTATTGATACTTATATATCATATACCATTATACCAAATTTAAGTATCCATTGCAAAATAACTGTAACATAATATTTAAAATATATTTTATCCTTGAAAGATTTTTGTCTTGGGAAAATAAAAACCTCCAACTCACTTACTAATAGATCAATTTTTGAATTTTAGCCTACATGTATTGTTATTATATTTTAACTCATTTTTGTGCATATTTAAGAAGAAATGTACAACTAATACTTTATCAATACTTCTACAACAATATAATATGAATTGAACAGATTATGTTTTTACACATTAATAATTCAAATTTCTTGTTTATTTTAATACCCATATACCACAGTAAAAGTAATTTAAATTAATTTTGTTACAATTTTTGTATTCAATGATGAAGTGCTTTAACACTTTAGTAAGTATTTTAATAATGTAATAACAATCTGTTTTGTACAAAACATTTTTTCTATTATCAATCACCATAAACGTAAAGGCTTTCACTTTCATTTAATAACTAATGTATTGCAATGTCTACTTGTTATACAATTTAAAAAAGAATACATTTTTACAAGCTATACCTACAAAGTAAATGAAAACATAAAAATAATTTATTATTACTTAATATGATAGTAAAATATTCAGTTTAAATTTTTATATACTTGTGAGCATAGGAAAAGTAAGTTAATATTTATCAACTCATGCTAAGTTACTATAAGCATCAAAATTTAAATTGTTTTAGTATAGTAGGTACTAAGTAGTCTTTTTCAGTGTGACTTTACATTATTCACTTCTGTATAAATGATATAAATTACTATCTTCTTATTCAACATTTTTGTATGTTTTGAGTAATCCTGAAACAGACAATATATTCATAATAATTTCAGAAAAAAGTAAACAATTTACTTCTAAAAATCATCAAAAGTGATTGTAAGGCAAATATATTTACTCAATGCATTACTAAAAAGTGATAGAAAAAAAACTCTTATATATTGGAATAATTTAAAATTGTTAAAACAATAGTATACATATTTTATAACGGTTATGAATAAAATTGTAAAAATAAATTAATACAATGATATATCAGATATTATAATACTTGTTCATACAATTTTTATTATTAAATTATAATGTATCTTGATATTTTTTATTTCCATAATTTTGTTATTATTTTTTGTTTACAAAAATTATAATTACATATTTGGTATTTTGTTCAATTTATGTAAGGAATTACATTATCAGTTATCACTTTCTTTATTGTTATAATAATTATAATAGATGATTAAAGTATATTATTTATTGGCAAACCATGTAATGAGTATTAACCAAGTAATAATTGTTGTATAATAAATATTACATAACAATAGGTTAGGTTAGGTCTATATAGGTGTGTATGCTGGGTTACCGAGTGTGTGTCATTGTTGAGCTGTGTCTATTGCTTCAATCAATTAAAGTTTATCAGTTTAAATTTTGTTGTTACTTATTAGAATTAATACAAAATGTTATAAGCCTAGACATTGAGGAAAGTTGTAGCATCATCACTTAGTTTGCTGAATATAATTTTTAAAATGAGAATCTTACAGTA